CAGCAGAGTTTGACTGTTCCTCACCCAGTTTTAAGCCTCCTACACAGCTGTTTGTTTCAGTTAATGACTGTGTTTCAACCTACATATAAAATTGATGAACCTTAGCACCTGCTTGGTCTAATTGGTTAATCATACACCTGACTCTAATCCTTCAAGATCCCTGACTTTGTGCAAGTGTACAAAGTGTACAAGTGTAAGAATTGATGCTGGTTTGAAGCCAAAGGGTAGTCACACCAAATATTGATTTGATTTACATTTCTCTTCTGTTTGCTTACTTTGCACTTTGTAAACTGATCGACATAAACAATTAGAATATATCTTTTTGAAAGTATTCTTACTTTTCAGCATTTTTTCACACCTGCCTAAAACTTTTGCACAGTACTGTATATACTTTGGAATAAGCTCCACTGAATTGTCGGACATTATTTCTGAGTAAATATGCATAGTAGCAGGCTGTTGATCGTTCAAGTAAAAACCAATGATATTCCATCTTTTAAAAACCATTATTAAAAGGTGAAACTGCTGAAGTCAAACTATTTCGTTCACCGATCCTACCAAATTAAGTTTGTTCATTCAGCAAAACCTAACAGGATACACTTAGGTCAGCTGGATGCTCTTTTTGGATGGTTCTATAGCCTTTATTACAATGATGCTGAATGCTAGGAATAAATTGCTACTGAGCTTTGAACTATCTTCTCTCTACGTTGCAGTCTGCTGTGGGCTGCGTGACCTTATTGTGCAATCTAAGGATAATCCTTCACTTTTCATTTTTGAATCGCTTTATGCTGGTGATTTTTTCCCCTAAAAAACGCATCCACGTGCAGTAGTATGTTACAAGGTGATTTTTAATGCTAGTATAAAAGCATGAAGGGCACTTTCTATTGACAGCTATTTCTGTGCAAAGACTGTGGGACCTACGTAAGAGCTGCTTGTGGTGAATTGTTTCTAAAGCACTCCCCCTCTTGTAATATAACCTGCTGAACTTTTTTTCCCCAATTCCAAGTATGCCTGGTTTCTCCACAGATGATTTGGTTTTGTGTTCTAAACTAGCACTGAATAATAGATGAAGCTTCAATACATTCAGCTAAATAAATTCTATTTTCACATGCCATGATCTACAGCTTCTTGGTGCTGCTTTAAAACAAAAACTAGCGATGCATTTCCACCCCTCCCTCCCTCCTTTCCTTTTAAGAAGGAACCAAAATGAGTGTCTTTATAGACCAAGGACTCAAAGGCAATTTGCATGCAGTCTCTGCTCAAAGACAGCACGTCTCAAAAGTGGCATACTAAGTGCGCAGAACTGAACCCCTGCAATCATTCCGAGAACAAAACAAATTAATTCTTGCAAATCAAATTAGGAAGCTGAGCTGGTGGAAAAATATTGTGACACAAGCCAACCAAAGTTAAGTACTTTAAAATCCCATTTATTTCAATGGGAGACCTACACGCATAGTTAATTTCCCTTCCATTGAAATTAGTAAGTCCAGGGCTACAGACCTTTAAGTACTTACTAGGAAATAAGCCCCACTGAATTCAAATTACATATAAATTAGGCTTATGAACCCACAGTTGAAAATGCTCAATTTTGGCTTATCTTTATGTTGCCTATCAAGTGAATATTTTTGCGACTAATACAGTTATTGCTCAATAATCAACCTGTAAGATAGAACAGAGGAAATACTTTCAGTTTCATTTTATTATATTATAACATCTGCAACTACAGCTTACTCAGCCCAAAAAAGAAAAAGGGGAAAAAAACTATTCCAAACCCTTTAAAAATACCTACACTTTTTATTTTAAAAAATAAAAACTACCTAGTATACCATTACTGCCTACAGCACTTGAAAAGGGGTGCATTATACAAGGGTATCCTACTGTAACTTCTGTGGCTGCCAGAGTTCTTCTTCCTCTTCTGCCGCTTTGGTCTTAGGTTTCAAAGAGTTTATTAAAGGCTGTTCCGATTTCTAAAACCATGTCAGAGGCTGTCATAGATCGTCCAAATTTCTGAAAGGCTTGGTTGTTGCACTGCCTTGTAAGTGAACATGCTCCAAATGCAGCCACTAGAAAAGGATTTTGACTAAAATAGAAAGAAGAATCCCAATTAAAATGGAAGTGAGCTTGACTATACCCCAGGAGTACAAACAAACCAACACATATTTATTAGCTCTTAGGCCAGTACAAATAAGACAGTAAGAGCAACAAAAACAATAAGAAAGATGGACCCCATTTGCCCACCTGGTCAGAGTTAAAATGTGCTAAAAGTGCCAACTGTGAGCTAAAATACAGGTAGCAATAAAAAACATCCAGAACTGGGTGGGCTCTGTCAAAAGGAAAAGGGCTAAAATCGATACAATAGCATAGGAAAGAAGCAAGTATAAAATCAATGTAGTTAACTATGTTCTAGGTCTGTTATAATGCTATGTTCAGTTGATGCCTCATGAATTTTGCGAACAGCTGCACCAAATCTTGCAACATTAGCCATGATGTAGGGACTATCACCCGCTAACAGAAACCGGGCATATGCTGAGTCTGATCTAGGAAGGCACCCATCAATCAGGGGAAGAAACTGATCAGAATGCACGGCACGCCTCACCCGTTTGTTTTTTCTGGCCCCGCAAGGAAGGCCCAGTGCGCTAGGACTCCGAGGGACCCTGAGAGAATATCTCCTTGTCCACCACACCGCCTGCTGCTTCCTTCATGGCTACATACAAGCACTGTAACACAAAAAATGGAAGGGACTGAGGATACTTGATCCTTACTTAACAGAGCTTGTGTGAGAATTAAAAAATGTAGGTACAAACTGTAGCAGGCATTATTTCTTTAATTATAAAGTTCATTCTTTAAGTATGATCAGAACTGAATTTAAGAACAACCTATGGTATTTTATAAGGTTAAGATTTAAACCTTGTATGTACACATGTGATCAGAACTAAGTTTCACTGAACATGCATAAGATTGCTCTATTTTTCTATTATTTTATTTTTGCATTATTGCATTAAGTTCACAGGTTTAATTAAGGCAAAAACATCTCTGTAATAACAGCAATTTTTATTAATAATTTCATTTACATTTTATTTTTAAACAGCTCTGATATCTATGTATATTTTAATATCGTAAAATATGGTGCTGTTTGAATAGTGACATTTTTACCATAATGCATTAGTCAATTTTTGACCAATGACTAACAAAAAACTTCTAGTACTCCCTTCTTCTAATTTTGATATATTATATGCACACACCTGCATTTTGTTTTTATTTTTCTACAGCATCTACCCATGCTGGGAAAAAAAAAATTACGTTTATAAAAATATTTGCTCTGTGTTTCCTTCATATACCTTTTTCTCCATCTGAAATTAGGTCTCGTTCACCTTTCTGAACAATTGTCAAATTCCCCAAGGCCTGGCTGAGCCTTAACAGACATCCGTGATAATCACTGTTATCTACAGGGTCTCTAAGCTAAAGGAGAAGATAGAAGAGAGGAAATTATACAGAAATAATTGCAGCAAATAATGATGAAAAGGGATCTTTTAATCATCATACTATTTTTAAACTTTAAGTTATGAAATGTTAACTACCTGCTTAACTACAGTCTCCACAAACCATACAAGAGCTGTTGCCATATTTGTTGCGAGTGTTACCATGTCTTGATTTGTAGTTGTTTGGTTTACACATAATCTGCACATATTTGTGTGAAAGTGAATGGAGATGTATGAAAGAGAGGATACAAAAAATCCACTCAAAGCAAGTTCCAGACTTAGAAGGGTTTGTTTTGGAAGGTTTTAACTTATGGTTAAAAAATACCAGAATGAAGCTCTTTTTCTAAGACATAACAAGCAACGACTTTCAAAACACAAAACAAAAGATAGTTACACGTGAACTTGATGAGATGATGAAGGTATGAAGAGGTGTGAGAAGACTGACCAAGCCATGTGAAGTTATGTAAGTAGATGGTAACTTAGTTCTTTGAACCTATTGCACAGAATTAGGTAGATGCCGGGGGGCATCTTGTCTCAATTCTTCTGGAACTCAAACCTAACCTAGTCAGCTACACTTGTGATCTATTGCCTCTACAGGTAGGCCTTGCTTACTGACTGCCTTGTTCAGGGACCATTCAAAGTTATAATGGTGCTGAAAAAAATAACTTTACAACCAATGCCCACATTACGACCTTTGCAGCATCCCTCAGTCAAGTGATCGCCATTACAGTCAGTACACATTGTCCTGTGCCTGATCTGTTGTTTCACTTTTTTCCCTCCTTGCAGAGTAGAGAGATTGGAGAGGAAGGGATTACAAGAGAGTAAGCAGGCACACAATGGGGAATACACGGGCTATTCATGTAGCATGCTTGGAACTGCCTGCACCACCACATTTTTTCGAAGTGTATTCTCCATTGTGTGCCTGCTTACTCTCTAGTAACCCCTTCCTCTCCAATCAATATAAATACAAACATTAATTCCCTTCTTGCTAATTATCCCAGTGCCAGGTGAGCATTCCAAAGAGCAGGGGAGTGGGGAAAAGGAAAGCACAGTTGTGGATATGTGATTTCCCACTTAGTGACTGCTTCGCTTAACAACAGAGCTGCCAGTCCCAATTGTGGTCACTAAACAAGGACTACCTGTACATCTATAGGGACTGTAGCTATCTGTAAGTAAACATATAACTACAAATATAATTTATATAGACTTTGTTGAAAGGCTGCCTTCCCACAGTTCACTCCATAGACTCTAGAGTTACATAGGTTAAGATAGGCAGCCACATAAATTTGTTTATTAAATAAGGAAGCAATTTCAAGACTTAATGTGCAGATAATTACTTTTCTGAGTGCCATTACAGAATGGTGAACTCTTGTCCCCCCACCTGGTTGACAGCCTAGAAATTTATGCTCTAAAAAGATTAAATTAGGCTAAAATCACAAAGCCTATTTAAATAATTACTGAAGTTCTACATTAGTAATATTAAATGTAATTTGGGTTTGGATTGGCTTCCCTCAGGAAATATAATTGGAGACTGTATGGACTCACCATAGCTTCATAGAGCCTGCTAAATTCCATAGCATTTGGAGTAAGAATAGCTCGAGGATAACCCTGAATAAGAGAAGGCTGTTGGGCAATGAGCCATAAACCATCCTGCATGGGGCAATAAGAAGAAATATTTAATGACAAATTCAAAATCATGTAAGCAAGTTAATAAAATTATCATACTTACAGCATCAATTACAATAGGAATTCCTTTGACCTTGGATTTTTCTATTATGCCCTATTTATAAAAAAAAATACATTTAAAAATTGTAAATTAAAAATTATAACATTGAATGAGAAAATACAATTCTTTTTCTCCTTTTGCAAAAAGTAATACATTTTTAATAAAAGGCAATCTCAACATTTTAAATAAAACAGAAAAACTCAAACCATTCAAAGAATAAAACACTTCTTCTAAACAATACACCATATGCTACATGTCACATTTATTATTTTTGCTGTTTTCCTCTTTCTCCTCCACTATTAATATTTTCACCAAAAAATGGGTTCACAAATAATTTCACATTCAGATTTACTGAATCTATTGAAAACTCCCCACACATTTAAAAGCACACATTAAAAATACATGCAAAGCCAATACAAATACCCTTTTAGGATAAAAGCAAACTGTAAATATCCAACCATAATTATCCCATTCAACAGAAGAGAATATAGGTAGCTCAGGGTTGAACTGTGGAGTCCTTGGTGCTCCCTGAGCTTGGTTGTTTGCTTGCAATTGTTTCATTACCCAACTAGGTAACATCATCAGCATGAGTAAGTGTAGGCTTTGCTCCCTGTTTATATAAAGTAGCTCATCCTGCCAGTTTTGGTGGGGATGTCGTTTTCTCCTTCATAGTGCCCTGATAAGGGTATTGCTTTCTGCTTGATGTTAATCCCTGCTTATCTGAGTGTTAGCTGCTGAAGGGGATATGTTCTGGTCTTTTTTGTTTCCTTCTTAACTTTTTTATTGTCTCTTTCAAATGTGTGTAAATATGGTTTATTTCTATGTGTCTACTGATGGCTGATTTGTTTGAATGCCAAACTTCCAGGAATTCCCTAGTGTTTTTAGATTTAGCTTGGTCTAGGATGCTCAAAATTTCCCAATTAAAACTGTGGTTGAGACTGTTCACGTGCTGTGAGATTAAGGAGTTTTCATCATGTCTTCTGACTGCTAGTTGATGTTCAGGGATGTGCTCTGCTGGTCTTCTGCCTGTCTGTCCTACATAGTGGCTGTTACAGTCCTTATATTGTAAGTTGTAGATGACTCCTGTTTTTTCTTCTTGGGCTACTGAGTCTTTTGGTTTACTTTACTTTGGTTTTGTAGGGCTTTAGTTGGTTTGTATGCTATGGTGATACTCTGTGGTTGTAATAGTCTGTTGGCTGTTTCTGAGACGTTTTTGATGTATGGCAGTGTTATCCTTTTCATAGCTTGTTTTGGTTGTACTGTAGTGGGTTGAATGGTCAGGCGCTTTTTGATAAAGTTGCGTGGGTATCCATTTTGTGGCCTGTATAGGAAATTATGGAACTAAGCACCCTAGTTGAGAATAAAAATTCAAGGAAGTTGCTGTTTATGACCAGAGCATTACAAATCTAAAAGAATTGTCAATGAACCATGTTATTTGTCTTTATTATGGGTTAAGACTATGGTTAAGCATAGAAAGCCTGAGCCTGGATCAGAGGCCAGGTCCAGTTTTCAGACAAAGTCCTGCCAACTGTGAATTTATCCATTCTGACTCATTCCAAAGTAAGACTCAGAAAACCAAGTTTTTTTAAAATCTATGTGTATGTGAGACAAAAGTAACTGAAGAATGAGTGGTAAATATACCACTGTAACAGGACTTGAATAAGCTCTTAAAGATGGTCTTAGCTACAATTTCTTTGAAGCCTGGCAAGGAAAAGTTTGCTACCACTAGGTGGTCAGGATATTCTCAAGCAGATTTTTTAGAAGTACTTATACTATCCAAAGGGAAACCTTCCCCAAAAGCTGGAGTCTCAAGCCAATCTCAGTTGTTGCAGACCTAAGTGATGTAGCAAAACTTCACTGTCTTCATTTCATCAGAGGCAATTTTTTAAAAAACCCTTTACTGAAAAAGCTCATTTAGTCCTGAAACCTGTAAGTTTTAAGTAGCTATACTCTGCTAAAGAATTAATGTTCCTCTTCAACAATCTGCAACAAAGCCCTTGACAACTTTCTACATGTTGCAATCCTTGTAGTGCCATGATACAGGCATCTGCAATCTTAAGCAACAGGTGCTACTAGGAGTTTATTAAATGGAGCCCTACGGGCAGGCCACATTTATTTTGGCATTCACTCTTTCCCAACAAGACTCAATGCAACAGCAGCTTTTCAGAAAAATACATTCAAAATAAATACTGGGTAACCCACGAACACCATGCCTTGCACATGGGGTATAAAGAGGAGGGGGTATAAATATGTCTATTTTGTAGGAACCATTATCTATGGATTGGTCCCCAGAAATTAGCCAAAGCCTGAGTTTTTTGAACTTGCTTGCAGAGTTCAAATGAACATGGGATGCTTTAACATTTTCTATTTTAATTATTCTACTTTAAAACTTATGCAAGCCATGCAACATTGGTTACATTTTGAAGTGGCATAAAGCATTATAAATAAATAACAACATAAATCTGATACTCTCTTTAAAAAAAAAATAAAAGCAGTGCACCAGCAATACCTTAAGAAGTCCAAATTACCTTGGTATGTTCAAGTAGTACATCATCTCTTCCCAATCCTGGTCCAATGACAACTGAGTGAAGTCGTGGTAACCAGCTTTCCACTTCACGCACAGCATCAGGGCTATCACTAACGAGAAACATTAAAGCATATGCAAATAAAAATCACTCTTCCAGTTTACCACTAGGCCTTCTTTCTGTGCATCTGCTAGTAGCATAAACAGAAATTTTCCTTAAAACACAGACCCTCACATTGATATGATTAAAAAAGTAACATGCGGCTGCTTTTTAAAAACAATGGGACGGAGGGATATCAATTTATTCCTATGGAAAAAGCATGATGCACTGCTACTGTGTAAGGGGGAATAAAATATAATCTGCATCTCTTAAGAGCAGCTCCCAATGTTACATTTGTAAAGAACTGTACAATACTGGTATAGGGCCTGGTTATTTGAGAGACAGACTCTCTTCCTTACTTTCTGTCCACCCCATACAATCTGGTGGTCAACATACTTCCATCTGATGGGACTCAGAAAACAGACCTTTTCTGTCATGTTATCTGTCTGCTGGAACATATCCCAGAGATCCCACCCTGGCCTTATTTAACAAGCCCTTAAGGGCTAGCCCTTCTCCCAGGCCCTGGACTAGAGTGGGTGGTGGACTCTGTGGGATGACTCGTTTATTGGATTCTATTGCTTTTTTTGAGATGTTGTTTCTTTTTTGGACTTTGCACATCATTGTTTTATACTGTACACTGCCCAGTGATAGAGTCAGGTGGCCAATAAATCTAGTAAATAAATTGCAGGTTGCCAGCTGAAAGCTGTCAGTGGATTTCCCCCTCAATTTTTCAACAGCAACATCTATTATGTTTGTTATAATTTTATTCAAAATTATAAATGTAAGGAGTTGAGAAGGAACAAAAGCCAGCAAGTGCCTCGGAGGTGTTCCACTATTTAATTATACTGGGTGACAGTATATGAAGGAACATGGTGAGAGGAATCTGTCTAGGACACTTCTGAACTCAGGAAGGAAGAAAAATTCCCATATAAACAGTTGGCTGGCATTGTTCCCTTTTTCTTTTTACACATAGAAAGGAGAAAAAATTCCCATGTGCCATGTTTCAGTCTTAGTCTATATGAAGCTTGTTTTCTATTTTATTTTTTGGAAACATATTCCTGTTTATTTCACCTCTCCCCATCCCCAATGTCCTCCACATTCTGTAAAGAGGAGGTGTTAACCTCAAGGTCATATAATACTTATATTATAATAAGTAATATAATACTTACAAAGATTCACCTAGTGACCTGTCATATGCAGTGGCTTCCATAAAAGGTCATGATACTCTGAAATTTTCAGGCGGTGCCTTTTGTTATACCAACAAATAATGGGGGAGTCTGACTTACAGTTTGGATTCAGCCTGAACAAAAATCATAAGAAGTGCTGGGCTTTAATATTGAGCACCACTATTTGTGGGAG